GGAGCAGATGGAGGGAATGTTTGTACAGCTATGTTGCGTGAGGAGTCCTGGGAGTTATAGTCCGAAAACACAAATATCTTATTTATTTTATGTTATTTATTTATTTCATTTATACCCCGCCTACCTAGTCAATTGTGACCACTCTAGGCGGCTATCTATCATTCTTGTTTAGGACAAAAGACAGTGGGATTATGAAGGTCTTTATGATACTCAGTTACGGTAAGTTATTATGTTCCTTTAAAATGAGATGCTGCTCTGTTGTTCAGGAGGTTTTAATAAACACTGCTTCCCATATTTTTCCATATTCCAGACTCACTTCATTTGTTCGTTTGTTCGTTTGTTCGTTTGTTCGTTTGTTCTTTCTTTCTTTCTTTCTTTCTTTCTTTCTTTCTTTCTTTCTTTCTTTCTTTCTTTCTTTCTTTCTTTCTTTCTTTCTTTCTTTCTTTCTTTCTTTCTACAGCTGGCCCCAAAGCAAATAAATAAACAAATAGGTGGCTGTTGTTTTTGTTCTGGTGTTTTCCAGTCTTCTGCAGATAAAAATCAGCTCTTCACAGAACAGCATTCAGAAGATTAGCTATTTTAATCTCTTAGAGCAAAAACCAACAAGGTGTTTTGTTGTCCCTTGAACTTTAGGAGATGTGCAGATCTGTGCTTTTTGGAGAACAACTCCCAGAATTCTCTATATGGCTGTTTGTTTTTATAGGCGACAGAAACACTGCTCCCATATGCAAAAGAAAACAGCAGTGGATCCCTGTTTCCCATTTGTGACTATGACAAATGTCTGTGTATACTCAGAGCAAGACCTGTTAGATAGTGGCACCAGTTTCCAGTTTTTGGAATCTGGGAAAAGTCTGGGTCTTTCCAGAAACATGCTTTAAAAAGAAATACAACCTTATCTGATTTTTTTTCCTCTGCCTCATGTCCTGCTGTTTTTAATATGAAAATGCTGTGCTGTTGCAGTTTGATGTTGATACAATTCTATTTGTTTTTTTATTTATTATATGATTTCATTGCTATCTTTTATTGTGGTTTGTTTTTATTTTATTATGCTATTACCGGGTAACTGCCCAGAATAGCACATTCCACTAATGGGGTTGTATAAAAATTAATGAAATTAATTAATTAATGAGTGTGGTGTCCTGTTGGTTTGGTAATATGTTGTTTGGATATACAAACAATACTGTATGTTGCCTTTGTTTTTGAAGATAGATAGATAGATAGATAGATAGATAGATAGATGTAATATGTTGTTTGGATATACAAACAATATGTTGCCTTTGTTTTTGAAGATAGACAGACAGACAGACAGACAGACAGATATTGTTTTATATAGTATAAGTTGCACATTATGAACAGTTTTGTTTTTAGCTAAAGAAAAGTGGCATGTAACTCATTTTTTGAAAAGATTTAAATCTTTTAAAAGATTTAAACCAACATAACTGACTCATTTGCACAAATATGCTGCTGGTTGTCTTCCTATCCTGAACCATTGGTTGTCTGGCTTCATGTGCATTGACCTTTGCACTTCTCAGCTTCAGGCATGATTGAAGAGGGAAGACGGAACGCACTCTGCGCCAAGTTCTCTTGCTCTTTTTCTCCTTTTTCTCCTAGTGAACTGAGGGCTGACAACTTTTTAAGATCCTTTATGAATCCACAGCTTTGTCAGTTGTAAAATGTATTAACTCTGGAGAATCCCTTGCTTTCAAAAGGTCATTTTATGGGATTGAATTTTAAGTGTTTCAAGGCCTCTCTGACTAGAGGGTGGCTTAATGTGGTTTGGAGCTAAACAGTCCCATCCTCCAAATCTTTGGGGCTGAAGCCTCCCCACATATCAGTCCTCAAGCTGACAGTGGCTAGCAGGCATTGTTTTGCTGTTTACTAGACGCCCAACCTCTTAACCATCAGAGCCAGGTGCAAAAAGTAAATGTTATTTGGGAGTAGGTTTCTTGAATACGGTGGGGCTTACTTCAGAGTAGGCATGTGCTGAGATGCCATGCTACAGCTGAAGGACCCTAAACCCAGGAATGCATTCTGAGTTTGAAAAGAATGTATCTGAACTTCCATCCTTTGACCAGAATAATGTATGCCTAGTTTGCCCTCTCCTCCCCTCTGAAAGCTTTCTTAATTTCAGTACTATAGTGGGTTTGAGAAAGTTAAAACAGGCATCATATTCTTTCTGTTGCTTGACAACAGAAAGAATATGAAATTAGGACTGAGCCCTCTAGGTCAGGATTTGGGAGGTTCCTTGGGGCCTTAAGCCCAAATACATGTGGAATTTCGAGGCCAGGATTGAAGCAAGTACTTAAGGTTATGTGCCTAGAATGTAACAATTGTGGTAATGTGCACTGTAGACAGTGTGGCATGAATGGAAAGCACATATAAATTTCTGACAGCAGCTGTGGACATGGAAAAGAGAGATGTGAAGGCAGTGATCCCAACCTTGGGTCTGCAGATGTTCTTGGATTAAAACTCCCAGAAACTTTCACCACTAGCTGTGCTGGCCAGGATTTCTGGGAGGTGTAGTCCAAGAACGACTGAAGACCCAAGGTTGGGAAGCACTGTTCTAAAGTGACTGCATGTGTGAAATGTTTTTGTCTGCCATACAATTTTTAGTTCTGACTGGTTGCTAGAAAAGGTTCTGACCTGATAGATCTTGAAAATGCTTGTTCTTGTTGAGATGCACAACTAAGTAGATGTTAGTTTGGGGTGGATAGCACAGTTTTTCTGCTATCAGCTGTGAATTCTATTCAGCATTGGTTTTACATTCACATTATTAAAATGCTAAAGGTCCAGACATGTATATGGCCTAAGAAAGGCAAAATCATTTTTTTCTGAAGGATGCCAAAATGCAGGCCTTAAAATCCTTGTTTAGTGGAAATGCTGATTCCCAGTCTGTCAGCTGGCCAGCAACTTTTGTGGGCTTATTTATATGGCTACGAGATACTCAACTGTCATGTTTCCACCACATTCTGTGGAAGTTTGTTTTCTGCTAATGATAACGATAGGATATGGGTTAGGGTGCTGGTATTCCTAACATTTATCAAATTGGGTAATGGTAAATTGGTATTAATAATAATCATTTTGAAGAAATTAGTTACAAATAGGCATCCACAGCATTTTTACTTCTCAGACTTGCATGTCTTCCTTTTCTGACTCAAAACTGGTGCTATATTTTGATTAAGGGTTGCATTTCAAAATAACCACAAATTTAAAACACCTATTTTCATTTGCTCTTTTCTGCTTCTACCCTCTTAAATGGGGATTTGGACAGAAAAGAAAAGGAAGGAAAGGAAAGGAAGAAAGGAGGGCAGGGGGAATCTTTCATTTTCCAGTTTAGGTCCTGTCTTTTATGCTATTGGTTAATTTGCTGATGTTACAATGGCTGACTTGGTGGTGACAGTACTGTGGAGCTTTGAAGGCTTGGGAGGAATTCCTCCATGGGCATCCGTGACAGTTACTGCTGTAATGTCATAGCAAGGCTGGGCAGCTTCACCCCGAGCAGCTGAGCTCTTGGGAGGATTAACAAGAATTTAAATTTCCATGACTAACCCTTGTTGAATTAAACCAGATAATAATTGCTGGAAAACACTGTGGGCTTTTGAATTAATCTTGTTGCTTTTGACAAAAGCAGATTCCGAACCTTTTCATTGAAAATGGAAGACATGAGTTACTTATGTGCATGATAGTACTAGAACCTCCAAAGTTTTTTGTTTGTTAGTTTTGTTAAGATCCTTTTCTCCATTGTAGTTGTTTCAAGCTTTTTCATGTGGTAATTAAGGGAGGCAATGGCTTACTAAATCAACAAAATGTATTTCCTCTTTAATCTCAGCAAAAAGAAAGGGCAGAGTGAGTTCTGTATAAGTGGCAGCTAAAGCCCTTGTTTTATACTGCTTTCCTGAAAGAGGCCCACATCTCTTATGCACATAGACCTCAGCTATGACACTGGTGAGAAGATAGTACCTTAAAAGTTAGCCCTATCTTGTACCTTTTTCACATGGAACACCATTCCTTCACAAGCAAAATCTGGGCCAGAAAGTTACATTGGAACAGTAATTATAGATGGTTCTATTTCCAAGCTTACCTCCTGTCCCTGATAATTAATTGCTGCTAGAGCTGCAATTTTTAACAAGTTAAACCTTACGCTCCTGTCTGTCAAAAGCAGCAAAAATAGTCACTTTTTAAAATACCTGACTGCTTTTATTCAGCAGCATGAGGCAGAGCGGAAGCCAGCGTATAAACTATCTGATGCTTCTCCTCTTCCATTTAGTGAGGCTTCACTCCTATATCTTGTAAGAGTAAGTAAAAGATGCAGTTACATGACAAAGGTTATCCCATGTGAATTTATGCCTCACTAAGTCACAGTGGCTGTTCATGAGCCCCATTCTGCCACATTTCATGTTTGAATCCATTTACTGTCAAATGAAATTGCCCTTTGCAGGCCAAGGAGCTTGACCTGGCCAGATTGGGCCTGAAATAGCTAGGGGAGAAAGTTGTGCCTTTTCATGATGTCTCAGACTCGGTAAAATATAGACGCCTCTTTCTCTGTCTGCTACAAATGTTCCAACGCCTCATGATTGACTGGCCTTCTTGTAGATAGCAATGCAGAGTTAGACTTACATGAACTCCTTTCTGTTTCCATATATCTGATAAAGTGGACATGAAAGCCGGTTTCCATATATCTGATAAAGTGGACATGACAGCCACATGTTTTTGTCTCTAAGGTGCCACATGTTTTTGTCTCTCTCTTTTTAAAAATATTTTCCTTTCCTTTGGATTTTGCCTGATATGGACCTCTTAGTTATCCATAGCTTTGGGTATATCTTAGTGCATGACACCAGGCCAGTGGAGTCAGATGGACTAAGCAAAGTTTAGAGAGGCAGAATGGTTTCTGATGATGTGAGTTATGGTTGAGAACTGCATGCATGTATTTTACTGCATCAAGAATGGGATGTAAAAGGAGCCCCCCTGCCATAACGCTTCTCTTGTCTTTGTTCCTTCAGAGCTTAAGGCCACTGGCACAGCCCATTTCTTCAACTTCCTTCTCAACTCAACAGACTATCGCATCCTGTTGAAGGATGAAGATCATGACCGTATGTATGTGGGGAGCAAAGACTACATCCTGTCACTAGATCTTCATGATATCAACCGAGAGCCCCTGATTGTAAGGCCCTATCTTTTCTTATACTAGGAGCAGGGAGGGAAATCTGGGAAAGCTTGAGGAAAATTTCAGCCTCGTAAGGAACAATATGTCCCAATAATTTTCTGAGCTGAATTTGGAGAAAATAGATATGGGTGCAAGTGAAAAATATGACAAACCTGAAAATCTTCTAAAACATTGATTGGCCTTTCCGCATTCACTTACATCCGTTCATTGAGGTAGCAGTGGCTGGGTGTGGATAATGTTTGGGTAGCCCAATGTTCAGAGCATTGTTTCCTAATCTGGTGCCCTCCATATGTTCTGGGCTGTTAACTCTTAGCATGTCTCATCATTGGTGGTGATTGCTACTCCTCACATTTATCTGTCTACTGAGGCTATGCTGCATGGCTCTGAAGAAGTGGGCTACGGTCCACAGAAGCTTACGCCAACTGAAGCTTATTAATCTTTGAGGTGACACAAGACTCTTGGTTGTTTTTTCTTGTTACTGTAAATGTTGTTACCAGGACAGAGTTTGCCAGATGTCTATGACACTTGTGTAACTGTGTTCTACTTGGCAGCCACTGACAGAATAGATGCATTCTTGTCACTATAAAAAGGTGAAATGACTTATTCCCCACCCAGCAGACTCTCTGTCTTTGGAAATGCAATCATCCCCACAACAGAAGGGCTACATTTAGGACACCCACCTGGAACTGAAGCGTACCAGTCAAGTGTTTTCTCCTTTCCTATTAAATTGTTTTGAAAGACCCCTTTAAATTAACCTATCTAAAGATTACTTAATCTGTTCTATCTCAGCCAAAGGACTGGATGGCTTGGGATTCCAGTTAGCACCCTTGTGCACTGATCTATGAAAAATTATAGCTACTGGGCTGAAGACATTGTTTTGTTTGGCAGATCCACTGGCCGGCATCCCAGCAGAGAATAGATGAATGTGTCCTGTCAGGAAAGAACAGTAATGTAAGTATTTCTAATGTAGTCAACAGAAGACGTCAGGGAGGGTGGAGGGAACCCTGTTGCCCTAAGCCACTGAAGCATCATCCACTCAGGATGTTTAAGGCAGGAAGCCACCATAGGTGGTCAGGCAATGGCATTTCGTCATGCTCATCCTCCACAGCAAGATCAAAGAATCAGCAAGATGAGCAGAGGCTGGCTTCTCTATTGCCAGGGCCAGCCCAAGAAATAACTGCTGGATCATAATGATAATTTCTTTGCACATCTAAAGTTCTTTCATTTTCAAGCACTAGCAATCATCTGTAAGGTTATCAAGAACCATAAAATCTACCTAGAAATTTGAAGATGTTGATGGAGTGGCTATGCTCAGATTGCAGGTGGGAAAGATGAGGGTCAGGAAGTGGGAACTGTACAGAAAATTTGTCAAGAAAGCTTTGTGGCACAAGCTGCTCTTTCTTCCTTGTCCCTTGGCTCTTAATGATGACATAGACCTGGGTGGCAACTTCAGATTTTCTCCTCCAAGACACCAATCTTGGAAATGCTTTAAAAGAGAGAGAGGAGAGAGACCAGATGCTCACTTCTTCTTTTATTTTTGTTTGAGGGATGGATATTTGTTTGAGGAGGCTCTGACTATCCCTCTTCCCAAATTTTGCTGCAAGAGGATGGGTTTGTGACCAATACTTGCAAAGTGTGCTTTATCTCTAGAGTCAGACAGTGACTCTCAGGAGGATTATGGACTGTAGAGTGTTTGCCTGAGTATGGTGACAATGTCTAGTCAGCAGTAGGTTAAAGGAACTGGGAATTTTTGCTCTTCCGCGGCTGAGCCCCCACCAGCAGTAAGGCATATTGCCTTTGGGCTCCCCCCCCCACTCCTCCCAATAGAAGGAAGCCAAAAATCACAGCTCACCAAGCTGTTTCCTCTGAAGGGCAGTGTGTCTTTTGGCCAGCTGACCTTGAACTCTGTCATCTTGGGGGTCTCTCAGCTGCTACTGTTCAGAGCTTAGTTTCAGAGCAGCCGAGCAAGCTTAGCAAAAGAAACCCAATTTGCTTGCATATTTCCAACCCTACTGAACTTTGTTACCCTTGGCTCCAGCCCAGTTTTTATGAAACACCCCCTCCCCCCAAACTGGGGATAAGGCAGAGAGGAAATATGAGCTTGAGGAGGAAACTGGACTCAGCAGCCAGACAGGCTGTGCCATGCTCCATGGCTGGCCTTGAATCTAATTAATTAACGAGCTTAGGCCTGTACAACACAGAGTGTGTGTACTCTGGAAACTGTTCTACTTGCCTTCTGGGCCTCACCATTATCACTTACCTGTTAGTTATTCAGCCCAGGCATCACAGTTTCCAAGTCCTTAGTGCCTCTTAATGAGCAGGGACCTGGGGGCTGGCTTGATTATGTTTCCTTTCCTTGTTTCCTGGCTAGATAAGGCCAGAGACTCTTCTTTACCAGGGCAAGAATGTTTCATTCATCTGTTTATTGTTTAGCATTTTCTCCACCTTTTGAAAATAAGCAGGCACAGGAGCCTGAAGCTTGCAATCCTCACCCTACAGTCATTGTTTTCTCAGACTCCAGGAAATTAGCCAAGGAGGAGACCTAGGAGCTTCACAATTTGTGTTCTGCTTAATCTGCAGATTTGCTATAGAATAAGATGTGAGGAAGAAATGCTGGTTTTGGGAGGGATTTATTTCGGGACCCTTCCAATTCAAAGGGTTTTCCATAAATCAGCCTTGCCTGTCCTGGTGTGTCATCAGGATATCTTAGCCTACCTTTCCCCAGAATCCCCTGGTGCCCAGTATCTGGAGGGCACCATGTTGAGGAAAGCTTACATAGAGGGAGTTTAGATTGTTTTTGAACTACATCCAGATCATAATTGGGTGAAGTGTTAGGGGGAGGAGCCAGGAAGTTCTTTTGCTATTTCTTAAAGGGCACAATGCTTTGGTTGCCTTATTCTTCACTGGAAGCCAGTGTTGCTGAGAAGGACCATTTGATATACAACTGTTCCATGTGGTGTGATGCAGCTGTGCAAGAAGCTTTCATTATTATGGAATCTCTTAGCTGATTGTTTCCAAATCCATGTAAATCACCAGTTAGATCGTGATGTAGATTCTGTCTTGAAGTAATACAGTGGTGGTGGTGGGGGGCTAAATTAATTCAGTCTTCTTTTTTTCACTGTCTAGGGGGAGTGTGGTAACTTCATCCGCCTTATCCAGCCTTGGAATCGGACCCACTTGTATGTTTGTGGCACCGGAGCATACAACCCTGTTTGCACCTTTGTCAACCGAGGACGCAAAGCACAGGTGAGGTACTATAGGAACATACGGCTGGAACTACAGCCAAATCTGTGCTGCAGAAATATATTATTGTTATTTAGTCGTTAAGTCGTGTCTGACTCTTCGTGACCCCATAGACCAGAGCATGCCAGGCTGTCTTCCACTGCCTCCCGTAGTTGGGTCAAATTCATGTTGGTATCTTCAATGACACTCTACAACCATCTCATCCTCTGTCGTCCCCTTCTCCTCTTGCCGTCACACTTTCCTAACATCAAGGTCTTTTCCAGGGAGTCTTCTCATGAGATGGCCAAAGTACTGGAGCCTCAACTTCAGGATCTGTCCTTCCAGTGGAGCACTCAGGGTTGATTTCCTTCAGAATGGATAGGTTTGTTCTCCTTACAATCCAGGGGACTCTCAAGAGTCTCCTCCAGTACCATAGTTCAAAAACATCAAGCCTTCTTTATGGTCCAGCTCTCACTTCCATAAATTGCTACTGGAAAAACCATAGCTTTGACTATGCGGACTTTTGTCAGCAAGGTGATGCCTCTGCTTTTTAAGATGCAGGCTGGTCATCGCTTTCCTCCCAAGAAACAGGCATCTTTTAATTTCGTGGCTGCTGTCACCATCTGCAGTGATCATGGAGCCCAAGAAAGTGAAATCTGTTATTGCCTCCATATCTTCCCCTTCTATTTGCCATGAGGTGATGGGGCCAGTGGCCGTTATCTTAGTTTTTGTGATGTTGAGCTTGAGACCATTTTTGTGCTCTCCTCTTTCACCCTCATTAAGAGGTTCTTTAATTCCTCTTCACCTTCTGCCATCAGTGGTATCATCTGCATATCTGAGGTTGTTGATATTTCTTCCAGCAATCTTAATTCTGGCTTGGGACTTCCCATAGTTTGCTGTTGTCCACACAGTCAAAGGCTTCGGCATAGTCAATGAAGCAGAAGTAGATGTTTTTCTGGAACTCTCTGGTTTTCTCCATAATCCAGTGCATGTTAGCAATTTGGTCTTCAGTTCCTCCGCCCCTTCGATATCCAGCTTGTACTTCTGGGAGTTCTCAGTCCACATACTGCTGAAGCCTACCTTGTAGAATTTTGAGCATAACCTTGCTAGCGTGTGAAATGAGTGCAATTGTACAGTAGTTGGAACATTCTTTGGCACTGCCCTTCTTTGGGATTGGGATGTAGACTGATCTTTTCCAATCCTCTGGCCACTGCTGAGTTTTCCAAATTTGCTGGCATATAGATTGCAGCACCTTAACAGCATCATCTTTTAAGATGAGTTCCACTGGAATGCCATCACCTCCACTGGCCTTGTTGTTAGCTATGCTTTCTAAGGCTCCCTTGACTTCACTCTCCAGGATGTCTGGCTCAAGGTCAGCAACCACACTATCTGAGTTGTCCGGGACATCCAGATCTTTCTGGTATAATTCATCTGTGTATTCTTGCCACCTCTTCTTGATGTCTTCTGCTTCTGTGAGGTCCCTAACATTTTTGTCCTTTATCATGTCCATCTTTGTACGAAATGTTCCTTTAATATCTCCAGATCTCTGGTTTTCCCCTTTCTATTATTTTCCTCTATTTCTTTGTATTGTTCATTTAAAAAGGCCCTCTTGTCTCTCCTTGCTATTCTTTGGAAGTCTGCTGACGTGTTTTCCTTCAATTTATGTCCCACTTTTCTCTCATGAATCTCAATGACCTTTATACCAGCTATGGCCATTCTAGTTTCCAGTTGCCCTGGATAGCTGGTTGCATAATCACATGGAGTTTTGTTTTTGCTGGGAAATGACACCATCCATTCACACAAACTTGATATCAGGAGAGCTAACGTGGTACCCACCTAACATCCTGGACTGGAACTCCCATAAACCCCATCTAGTTTGGCCCATGGTCAGGGATTCTGGAAGTTGTAGTCTCAAACACCTGGAGCACACCAAAATCCATTCTGTGGTGCCACGTGCACTATGTTACACAGGTCAGTGTGCAGGAATCAAAAGCCCAATGGCACTGTAGTAGATAAGTTTATCTGAAGTCTTCCTTCCCTCTGCTTTTTTTTTTTAAGGAACTGGTTCTTGTTTCTGTGCCTTCCACGGTAACCTGATTTACAGAAATATAGCCAGTGAAAATTTCCCTGGAATCAAAATGAAGAAAATCTTCATCTGCTACATTTCTGCTTTGCTGGGGTTCTGTTAAAGGTGGGGAAGAAGACCAGAACATGATGACAACCTGCTTTTCACTGATTGATTTATCATAAAGAACTGCAAGTGACAAGGAGATAATTGGAGTGTAAGGACCTGTTAAAGTATGGGTAAAAAAAATTATAGGAGACAGCATAAAAACTGTCAGGCCACTGAAGGAAATATATCTTTTGAATTCTGCATATTGTTTGGTCTGTCCCCTTTTCAAAAAATATATAGCAAAGCTAAAAGAACAATAAAGGCAGGTAATAAAGTAGAAGAGTAGGTATGCTTTCTTACATGCAAAAATTTAGGGAAGTTTTCCTAACATAAAAAACACAGAGAAATAAGCCAATACAAATTGTGGGCCAGTGTTTCTCAATCTAATTCCATATGTGTTGAATTACAACTCCCATTACCCAAACAGTGATTAGTGTGCTGGCTGGGATGATGGTGTTTGTAGTCCAGCCCAGTAAGAACTTGGCTGTTTAGGAATAGTTGGTGAAGTAAGTATATGATGAGCAGAAGAAGCTTTTTCGCCCCTAGCCTAGGACCACCATTTCCAAATCTTCCTATATGTGTGTATGTCAGAGGACTCAACCAGAGAACCACAACTGGCCATTATGGGAAACAGGATGCTAGGCTACATGGTTTTTTGATCTGTTCTCATATGGAACTTTTTCAGAACATAAAAAATGTTGCTTGTTTCTCAAAGTGTCTGTCACAGAAGACTTCAGGGAAGGCCCTGTACAAGATCACAGCTATTGGCTGTCTAGTAATCAGGTGAAAATATGTGGAGAAGAGGTTTCCAAATTTGGGCCCTCATGTTCATGGACTAAAATTTCCAGGAGGTGCATTACCATTGACTGCCCTAACTACTGTTTCTGGGAGTTGTAGTCCAAGAACACATGGACCCCTTCTTTGGGACCGTTAACCTTTTCATAAACTGAAAATTATGTTAACCGAGGCATTCGTAAACCGAGGTACTACTGTATTACTATGTCTGGTGTGTTATGTTCAAGGTTCTATCCATTTGGATCCAGAAATCCCACAAGATCTTGACTTCCTCATTTTCTGAAACCTTCTCTACCTGATGTTCCCATGGGTTTTTAGATGCTGGCAAGTTATGCCAACATGAATTTGACCCAACTCTGGGAGGCAATGGAAGACAGGAGAGCCTGGCGTGCTCTGGTCCATGGGGGTCACGAAGAGTCGGACACAACTTAACGGCTAAACAACAACAAAGTTATATTTCTTGCATAATGACCAGTGCACTAATTTTGCCACTCTGCCATGTCTAACTTTGTGATCTATTTGTACAATCTTTGGACATCCACAGATGAGGTGTGACACAGTTTCATGTTTTTCTCGGCAG